AGCCCGCCCACCCTGCCCGTCGTTGCTTGGGGGGGGACCGAGCACCAGATTTGCCCATCACCTTTGCACACGCACTCACCGCCGCCCTTCCTCCTCCCCTCTCAGAGTGATGCGCCCCTCGCGCCGCCAGCGCGGCTGCGCAACGCATGGCCCAGTCCATCTGCCCACCGTCCCATCGGACGAGCGAGCCAGTTCGACGCCACTCTCTGGAGTCTCTCTGCTGACTGTGCTTCCCTGGGTTGGAGATGGCGCACTGCCCTCTTCGCCGAGCTCATGGGCTCGGGCGAGCCGCGGCCATGCTGGTCAGCTGGGGGGCAGGGCTGGGAGAGTGGGGGGGGACCACTGCCATGGCCTTCTCCTGTGGACACAGGATCGAGGATCCGGACTCTTCCCTTTGGCCAGCTCTCGGGAGGGGTTGTGGCCAGGAGAGGTCCAGGGCACAGAGCCCACACGTGGCCACACCTCCCGGGCACACACACCAGCCCTGGAGGGGCAGGCAGAGGGCAGGGAGGAGGTGGGAGGGGTGGGAGCTGAGGGTCAGCAGGAGGGAGCGAAGGGACCAAGGACTCCTTGGGGATGAGGTATAGGCCTGACCAGGAGTCTTGGGGCTGGCCGGGGGGGCTGCAGGTGGCGCCCAGACTGGGGGCTGATGGCTCTGGTTTTCCTCTCCCGCGCCGCAGGGAGCCAAGGGCTGGGAGCACGGCCCGGCCTGTCTCGGGAGCCTGGCAGAGGCAGGAAGGAGGCTCTCGGGTGTACGGCTTCCCCGCGGGTTTCTCAGGAGACTTCAAACTGCAAAGTAGAAAACCTACCAGCTCATGTAACTGCCAGGCCAGAGGGAGGGATGGATGCGAGCGTGGCTGCATCTGGTAGTAGGAAGGACTTCAGGCGTGAATCTAGGTGAAGGAAGGGCTGCAGGTATGGCTGGATCCAGGTGTGGGGAAGGCCGCAGGCAAGGCTGGGTCTAGGTGAAGGAAGGGCCGCAGGCAAGGCTGGGTCTAGGTGTGGGGAAGGCTGCAGGCAAGGCTGGGTCTAGGTGTGGGGAAGGCTGCAGGCAAGGCTGGGTCTAGGTGTGGGGAAGGCTGCAGGCAAGGCTGGGTCTAGGTGAAGGAAGGGCTGCAGGCATGGCTGGATCCAGGTGTGGGGAAGGCTGCAGGCAAGGCTGGGTCTAGGTGAAGGAAGGGCTGCAGGCATCGCTGGATCCAGGTGTGGGGAAGGCTGCAGGCAAGGCTGGGTCTAGGTGCTCCATAGCTGCCTTGCTCCGTCTTTTGCTCTGCCCCTGCTGGGGTGGCTTTGATGGTAGACAGCCTCCGCATCACCACCCCTGTGGCGAGGGGGCCCTCTCTTCCCATAGTCCAGCAGGCCTGCCTCTTGTTGGTCTGAGTGTGGTCACGTGCTGGTCTCTGAGGCCGCCCTGTGCCTCTGGTTGCCTGGGTCCCACAGCCCTGTCCCCTGTCCCCCGGGCAGGGTTGGGAGGGAATGGAGTGCAGTGGGCTCCCCACAGGGGCTGTGAAGTACCTGGAAGGGTCTCAAAGAAGATTGAGATGCTGCTTCCACAAGAAGGGGTCTGGGTCGGGGGACTGGGGCAGTGAGGCCCCTGACACCCCATCTTGGGGGGCTCTCCCTCCCTCCTGGGGCGGGGGGCCAGCCCTGCGGTGTCTCAGGCCCTGCCATGCTGGGTGCCCCTCCTGGCCCAAAGGCAGGGCCGTGGCAGCGGGTGGAGGCCACGTTGGCCGTGCCGCAAGGAAGGCAAGGTCGCGGCACACACAGGAAGGGGGTGAGGATCCCGGCCTGGGACCAGCCCCCACGGGGCCACCCGGCTGCCGTTCTGCCCGCAGGCTGGTTGCCGAGGGCCCGGGCATTCCCCAGGTGGGGACTTGTCGGAGGAGCTTTGCTATGCGCCGGTGGAAAAACCCGCACTCTGGCAGACGCACCTGGGAAAGAGCAGAGGGACATGGAGCAGGGTCTCGCCCCCCTCCTCCCTCCAGGAGGGGGCCTGGCCAGCCTCTAACGCCACCCACTCACCCCGAGGCACACCTGTCCGAGGCGTGCAGGTGGGGGCCCGTCCGGAGAGTGGGCAGAGCGACGCAGGGTGTGGGAGGTGAGGGGCCGTGTCCCCCACTGGGCCGGTGTGGAGCCCGTGGGGCTGGGAGAAGGCATCTCCCTGGGCGGCCCGAGCCAGGCAGCAGTCCTGGGACGTCTGTCCCTCTGAGAGGCCCCTCGGACGGGATCTGAGGGTCGGACGGCCTGCCCCAGCCGCACCCCTGCCCGCAAGGCCATCCTAGTGGGACTACCTCGCCGGCATTCATCACCAGCTGTGTTCCCATTTCACAGGTGAGGAAACCGAGGCAGATCCTGGGCCTAGGATGGGAGGACCCCAGGGCAGAGCGTGGCAGGCTGTCTGCTGCCTCCCGAGTTCTGAGGCCACCCCCCAACCCCAGGGCAGAGGGCCCCTGAATCCCACAGACCCTGCACTGGGAGGGCCGGGCCAGGGAGGCAGAGGGGGCGTTTCTGGGTTCCCATGGGGGGGCGTGGACACCCAGTGCAGAGCACTTGGGGCTGGAGCGGCCAAGCCCTCGCCTGCTGGGGCACGCCACTCCCCAGCCGCGGGGCCGCGAGGGTGGGGCTTCGCTGCTCTGCGCACAGCCGGACGGCCGCATCTGTCAGGTAGCGACACTCCGAGTAGTAAAAGCCAGGGATGAAATTCCTGGGTGCAGAGCTCAGAGCACGGAGGTGGGGACTCCCCGGAGCCAAGGCCGGTCCTCCCTCCCCGGACCCCGGAAGCCAGCCCCTGCCCTCCCAGGCTGGACGGCACTGATGTCCAGGATGGGGACCTGGATGGGGAAGGGTCATGGCCCTTGTCACCAAAACAGGGTGTTGGGAAGGGAAGGGGCGAGGTCGAAGTTCCACCTTCTCGCCCTGGTCTGGGTGACACCGCCCAGTCCCATCCCAGGCCCAGCCTCCCCTCCGCCAGCCTCATCCCGACCCGCCGCCTGGCCCCTCGGGAGAGTGGCCACTGGTCCAGCAGCGTGTGTCCCGCTGCAGCCCCCACGGCA